GGGGCTGAGGGCGCTCCCGGGCTGCCGGGGGGCACAGCGGCACGCAGAGCCATCCCAGAGCACATGGCGCAGCACTGCGTCCAGACGGTTCTGGAATAGCTCCGCTGAGGGAGACTCCGCGCCCTCTCTGGACAGCGTGTTCCAGAAAGGAGTTCTTCCCCATGCTCAGGTGGAATTTCCAGTGCCTTCCCCTGGCCTCGTGTTCTCTTGCCCGTCCAGAAGGATGGAGCACCTCTCCCGAGGGGCTGAGGCTAAGGAATTGTTCAGCCTGGAAAAGAGAAGCTTTGTGGTGACCTAATTGCGGCCTTGCAGTGCTTGAGGGGAACTTACTGGAAAGATGAGGCAAGGCTATTTACAAGAGCACGTAGTGACAGGACAGGGGGGAATGGGTTCAGATGGAAACAGTAGGTTTAGATCAGATATTAGGAAAAAAAAAATCATTTTGAAGGTGGTGAGGCACTGGCACAGAGAAGCTGTGGCTTCCCCATCCCTGCAGGTGTCCAAGGGCAGGTTGGACCGGGTGTGGGGCAGCCTGGGATAGGGGAAGGTGTCCCTGCCCATGGCAGGAGGTGGAACAAGATGATCATCAAGGTCATCTTCTAACCCAAACCATTCTATTGCTTGGCACCAGCGAGAAGACCCTGGTGACATCTTCTTGGCACTCCACTTTTGGTATTTATACACGTTAATGAGGGCCCCTCTCAGCTCTCTCTTCTCAAGGCTTAACAGGCCCAGTGCCCCCAGCCTTTCCTTGTAAGAGAAATGTTCCAGTCCCCCAATTATCCTCACTGCCCTCTTCTGGACCTCTACTCAAATGGGTCAGCAGGGCTCCTCTAAGGACTCCTTATTTACTTATTTTTTATTTTGTTTTGTTTTTCACATGATGTTGACCTGAAATTGACAGAAGTTCCATCTCTTCCCAGGTAATGAAGCTGGAGAGTCCTCAGTGACTGGTCCCCCAGATCCAGGGCTGGTGTTGGGCTCTCAGCTTCTCACCCTGCCCACAGATTTGCTCCTGGATGGCACTGCCATGGGCTTCAACATCTTCAGTCCACAGCCTCTGATCAGGACTTTCCTGCTTCCTCCACCCATGTTCACCACCCAGCAGTTCTGAGAGCTGTTGGTCAGATCTGTTTCCTTTATAACCAGGTGAATTTCTCTATGTCACTGAAGTAGTTGCTTCTAAAAATAAACGGTGTGATAATTTGTAAGTTACATGCACAGTACTGCAAAATTCCCTGTGGAGGTCTGAAAATAAAACTTAAGCAATATGTTTTGCTTTGTTTTTCAAACAAACAGGTCTTTAAAGAAAACATCCTCTATGGAGACAATTAAGACCCAGTGACACTTTAATTGCTTCTCTTGAGAATGACCACTAAGAATACATACTAACAGAGCATTGTGCTGTGTCAGGGTACCCAGGCTAGCAAGGTCTCAAAATCGATACAACTGCATTAGTGAGGCTCTGAGCCCTGGATAATTCATCCTGCAGAGAAAAACTTCACTGACATGGCCATGGTGCCTTTGGTAGTACTAGTTCTCTCAGAACTATTTCATGAACCTGTTCAGCACTGCACTGTATTTTCAGATGTCTCAGCTTTTTTTGTTTATTTGGAGTCTTTTTCACAGCAACCCTTGTAGGAAATAGCTTTACATCCACAGCCAGTGCTTACTCCATTTAGTGAACAGGATTCTGGCAGGCTGCTTTCATGTGGTCCACTACTTAGAAGAAAACACGGTAAACCTTTATCAATTGTGAGAAGCACAAAAAGAGCACGGAGTATCAGGATGTTTGGTCTTGTGAGCTGAACAGTTGAGTGATTGGAGACACTGTTGCAACTGGGAAGTGAAAGATGAGCATTTTTTCACAGGGCACAATTCAGTCACTCTTACTGAAAATGAGGGGTGCATTCCTAGCTGTACCTGAAGAGTCTACAATGGAAATCTTAGGATTTAAATAGAGTAACTTGGCACATAGGTAAATCAGCGAGTCAAGTGAATCTTTGTATATAGTAACCATCATCTCCCTTAAATCCCACTCTAGAGAAAGTCTGCGAAGATGAATCATTAACAAAAATTGTGGAAAACATGCGTATTTGCCAGCAGTCAAAAAGTTCCTTTGCTCACCCTCAGAGATAGGATATTGTGGGGGGTGTGGGCACATGCCACAGCAGGGTGTGTAAATGGTGGCCAAGCAGAGCAACTGCCACCTGCCAGATCTGGAGTTTCCACTTGGTTTTAGCAGAAGTTTAACTTATTTTCCTGAACTTTTCATCCTCTGCTTAGTCCTGTTTCTGAACTTTTCATCCTCTGCTTAGTCCTGTTTCATGCTATTCCCCCTCAGATTCCCATTTTTTCACCCTCTCAGTGCTAAATTAAAGTGCCCCACATAGTGTTGGCCTGTAATGTTGAGGTGAAATTCTGTCACATCAGGAGACATCTGTGTGATTTGCATTCTGGCAGCACTTAGTGGGTCAAATGAGATAAGTGACCCTTCATGCCAAATGTGTTACCAAACACAGAGTTTGTAATCTAATTATGACAGAAACTGTAAAGAAAAACAAAGCCAGGTGATTAAGCACACTTCCAGAACAAAGATTTTGGCAGAGACCAGAGGGAGGACAAAACTTTCCTGGGTCCAGAATGAATGCCCCGGATCATGCTTTCTCAGACCAGGCAGGAGGACTTACAGGAAAATATTCTTACAATATACATCATTTTCTGGCAGGATCTTGGTGGTATTTATACTTTTCAAAAATTTTCACAGAAAGAGCCTATGCTAGTTTATTTTCCTGAATAAAACCCAATACTAAATGTATTTAACTTCCAAATTACAGCCTGGGAAACTACATTTCTAAAGACACCTGAAGAAAGCACAATGGCTGTTGTAGTTGTTTTTAACTGTACACACACCCAGCAGTACTGACTCTTCTATTTGGACTGACCTTCACTTTTCATTATGAAAAAGCTCTCATTGCACACATTTCTGTGTGGGGAAGGGTTGTTTAATGTGAAAGACCTCTAAAATAATTTTACTTTAGAATGCTCCTTGAAAGATTAAGAAAGCATATTAACATATAAAAGGATTAGTATGTGCAGATTTAAGTGCTCTTGTCAGGGCAGGCAATACAGAATGATCAAGTTTCAGGTTGTTGGGACTTTCACCTTAAATAAACCCTTCAAAATACAAATTCTGTCTGCTGTAATATTAAACATATTATTTCCTGTGTTTCTATGTGAAATAGAGAATTTATTCTAGGTTGTTGGTGAGATTTCTTCACCCTTGTTTGTGATAGGAGGTGAGTTGAATTCAGCTGCTGTACATAGTGATGTTAACTCTTAGGGCCTGTAAATATTGTTTTTAGTATTACTCCCACAGGTTTAAAGAAAGTACATGCATATGTAAACGTGAATTGAAATGCATTTGTGAGTGGAAGCCATTCTCTATCCAGTAAGTAGTCACATTTCAATGGTGAAATTATATATCCTAATTAGAGATTCATTATAAAACTCTGAGATACTTCTGCTGAAAGGACCCATGTATGCATGCATGTAAGCACATTGCTGCAATAAATTTTCAAGATCCACAACAGGATTATGTCACTAAAATAACATTTTTGAAATAAATTAAAGACAGGAATATTAATTTAATCTATTTTCTTAATCAGTGTAATTATTTTATTAACATGTTGTAGAAAAATTCATTGCAATTAATGCAAGAGAGGGCAAGTATTACATGCTTTCTGTTTTCTTTTCCTGTCTGTTGTCCAAATGTAAGCACTTTCTGGAGGAATCATGATAAATCCATAGCATCTTATTTCATTCAACCCTATTTACTTTTAACAGAGCCAGCAGACAGCACTGCAAATGTGCTGCCAAGATGTATGGGTGACTTTGCATTAAGTAAATGCAAAGGCAGATCTAGCTGATATAAATCACAATTTCATGGGCAGTTTTAAAAGAGTGAAAAATTTCAGCAGGAAAGTTTTTTGTCTTCTTATAATATAGGGGTTTCAGAATTTGAATTGATTTTTGGAATTTAAAGTTCCAGGGCATTAAGATATTACTCAATTTAGAGTGACTTTTCCACCTTAAATTATTTTTATATTTTCCTGGACTTCCTTTCTGAAAAAGAAAAGAAAATAATAAAACTGTTAAGCCACGACAAACAACGAATTTCCTACAAGGTGGTGATACAGCCATGAAATTATTCAGTAATGTTTCAACAGAATGGGTCTTCACTTGAAAAGGTCAGTGTTTTGAAACCAGCACTCTTCACTGTGAAATATATGCTAGTTTTAGCAGGAAGGTTTTAGTGAAGATGCAGCTTCTGAGAGAGGAGGGTGACACTGGAGGAGTGAAATGTTCTTCCAGTGGCTGTAGCACAGAGCTTGGCAGTGGGGGTGAGTCACAGCCAAGTCTCTGTTTTTCCTGATTCAGTGTGAGTTTAGATCTATCTTTCACTGCAGATAAAAACCACCAAGCTTCTGTAACCACCAAGTCTTCTCCATTTACACTTTGTATAAACAAACACTAGCTTTAGCAGGGGCTTGAACTTGGGGCTTCCAAACTTTGCCTGAGCTCAGCAGCTGTTGGGTGTGAGCTTCCCTTTCTTCTTCCATTAAAACTAATAAATAAACACTGAAAAGATTTTCATGCAAAATATGAAAACATTTCAGTTTTCTTTCACAAGACAGGCAGATGTTTCCCAAATAGTTTCAGTCAGTTTTTCAATGCATTTTATTTCAAGAGGTGCTTTTATGTTATTAGCGTTAAAAAAGAATTATTAAATAGAATTTGCTTTGTATTGTCATGTCCCTTTCCATCAGTTTCTGTGTTTGCTCTATTCACTGTTATGCCTTTAAATAGAGAGTAAGGACTTCAAAGCAGGTATCCTATCTTCCTGAGGGTATTTATTTAATTCATAATGGCAGAAAAGTTCCTGGAAACTGATTGCAGCACTGCATGACAATATTTTTTCTGCAGAATGATGAGCTGCAAATCACTGACAATCCTTGTTTTATTCCTCCTCAATATTTCCTAATGTGATATCACCAGTTTCTTGTAAAAAACCCCCTCCATATCTTCAACAAATCTTCTGAATTTGTACTTAGTTTTTCTTCATTCATATTTGCCAGAACTCCACAACAGGATGGCTGTGTAACCAGGTGCTGTGTCCCAGGTTTTTTCTCCTTTACTCTCCCTTCACTGCCACTGCTGGGTCACTGAGGGTCACAAATGAGATGGCAAACCATTTGATCTGCTCAGTTAGTCACAAACCTGACAACCACAACTGGAAGAGGTAATATTTTTTATAATATTCTTCAGGGAAAGATGATTTTCTTTTTCATTTCTTTGTAAAATTAATACAGCCTTTTCAGATCTTGCTAAAGGATGAGAAAGCCTCGTTAAAGTTCTTTGCAAATAAGCATTCCTATCCTTTAAAAAAAAAAAAAAAGTAAAATCAAACCCTGTGGTTTTAAATGTTATGCCAGATTTGTCCTTCTCGACTTCCTTCTGCTCTCCAAACTGCTGAAACACAAAGGGGCTTCCCTTCTAGAGACTTCAGAGAGTGGAAACTTCTTTTTGTACCAGAAAGCAACAATAAAGAGTAAATGTTGCTTTGTGGCTTATACTCATAAATTTGATAATGAAGCCAAACGCAGTCTTTTCCTCATTTCAATACCAACTAGCTTTTTAAAATGTATTTAAAAGTAACTTTCATAGAGGGAAGAACAAGCATGAAGTTCTGAATTTTATGAAAACCCCAAACATGATCATTTATAAATGGAGATATGCCCTGCATCTGAACACGATTCAATTGGCTCAGAGAGCCCATGAACAGACTCTCAGAAGAATCCACAGATTCTTCACTGAATGAAGATCAAGCTGCTTAGGCACATTTAGAGGAAAAACCACACCTCAGTTCAGTTCTGTCAGAAAGCTAAGTTTTTTGAACTTTATTACCCTTTCTGGTTGTGCGTTTCTGTGGTGTTGCCTCTTGAAACAGACTCCTGGTTCCCAGCTGATAAACAAAAACCTTAATTATGCTGTTCACAAGAATATATTTCAATATTAATATTCCCCAAATTCTCTTGAGTTTCATGACAGGACTTGGTGTAATTGTCTCCATGCATGGTAAAAACCCTCATCTTCCTTCTAACGTAGTATTTTATAGGACTGAGCTCTTTTGCCATACTTGGAAAACAATTTTTCTAGCATGGAACACTAAATACATAACTTTTAATAAAGACTAAAATAAAGCAGCATTGTCATTCCAGTAAGTGCCTATTTTTACACCTCCCAAATATGCATAACGGGCAATTGGATATTTACTGATTGTTGCACAATAATTTACCCATGGATTTTTCAGTTACACATGAAATTGCCTGTTTTGTTCAGTTCTGCATATTCTACCAAAACATCCTGTATTTTTTTATTCTTTTTTTCCTATTGCACAATTTTTTTGGGTTGGAAATCATACACTGGGGAAAAAATGGATTGAGGGAGAAATATTAAATTTAAAGCTCATGCCTTCATGTTTTACACGTGGCTTGGCCTCTGTTAATTCAGGAATTAATTAATCCCTAATGAAACACGCTTTTACCGTGTATCAAACAGCATTTTTGTTTAACCATTAATTGTTTTTCATGTTTTTTTCTGGGCAATGAAAGCATTGGCTGTTTTTCTAATTTTTCTAATTTTTCGATTTCACCATCCCCACAAAAGATGTAATTTACACAGCTTTATTCACCACTACTATCTATAATTAATCTGGTCATATGGTTTTAATAAAAATTAATTAAAGTGTAAGACTGTGACTGTCCTCCAAGTTAATTTTAAAGTGTGTTGGACCATGTACACTAGATAACAAACAATATTAGATGTATATGTATATAACAATGTCTTCAGTTGTCAAAACAACATAATCTGTGCAATAAGTTTGAGTTTTTGTAGGAAAATCTCCTAAGCAGAGTGATTCCTGAATTTTACTGAAAAAGATGTGGGGTTACTGAATTTCATCTCTAAGAAATACTGGAGATTTGTATAAATTCCCCATTCCTTGTGAATAGATGTAAGGACAAATGGTATATTCTGAATACCAGAAAAAAACACCAAACTACTTTCAGGATTATTGGAAGGATCCCAATGCAAATGCTAAATATCAAGCTGGGAACACAGAACAGCCCTTGGTAATTTCTAACAGAATTATGCCAGATATTTGAAATTTTGATGAAGCCAATCTTTTCAGTTTAAGACAATACAGGTGTTTCTTACTTATTTTTTATTTCTTTTGGCATCTACTTAGATTTAACCCCTTTTTACATATCAATGTGTGCCGTAAGTGCTGTAGTTTTCCTTAGCACAGATTTTGTACTGTTGATGTTTTCATCCAGTTAATTTCTCCTTGCTGGCAAGCATTTAGTGTCTCTAGACATATTATGATTCATAAGATGAATAGCTTCCCCTTGCTGTGGGATTCAAGAGACCAGCATGGAAGTATCCTATTCCTAGAGCAAAATCTCAGATGAATAATGTAGTATGACAAGTGTATTACTCACTGATGGAGGTCTGCTGGAGTCTCTTCAGCAGCTTAAAACTGCTGGTCAGGAAGAGGTAGATTAAGGTAGATACAGGTCTTCTGAGTCAGATTATGTAGTGATAAAACATTGTTAGAATCAGTTTGCAATACTGTAATTGGATGCAAACTTCATTTGAGATTTCAGCTTTCATCTGCTGTACCAAATTTACATAACACAAATGCTAATTAGTGATGGATATTATACAGCAGACTCCTGTGCACATTATGCTTAGGTCAAAATTCCACTTATATCAAAAGGTGAAAGCAGCTTCCTTATTCAAAAAAAAAAAAAGGTCTGTTGACACCATTGATTTGGAAAGATGTGATATTTTCATATTTACATCTGGGTTTGTTTTGTATCTCTTCATTTAAAAAGAATTTGCCACAGTTTTCCCTATATATTAAAAGCACAACTTTTTGTAACCCAAAATTCAGGTGCCTAATTGCTCTCAACTCTTTCTTGGTTTATATTTTGAATACTTAAAATTAAATACTTGATATTTAGAATCAGATATTTTAATATGGCTGTTTTCTGCCTGAGTATCTATATTAAATTCAACAAAATTATTCATAGTGGTACAGAAGGTGACTCAGATATCCAAAGTGATTTTGATAGCCAAAAAGTAGGAATTCACAGTGGAACAACTGCAAGATACTGTGTTTAAATTCAGAAAACATAAATGATAGCTCCCTAGTGAATGTTGGTGAAAAAGACCAGACAGGTACAAATCCAAACAGATACCTTTCATTTCAGTTGTTCAATAATCAAAAACTGGAATATCCTTTGAATTTTAGTATTTCAAGGTGTTTACACAGACATATAAGGTAGATCATTAAAAAGGAAGAAGCTAAATATGATCATCCTGGTTAACTACCTTGAACTTTCTAAGTGCCAACAAAACTTGAAGTGTGTTATCTCAAAGCCATTGACAGTCATGTCTGCAAATCTAAAAATATCTTCTAAGAGCACAAGGATCAGATTTGTCATCTAAACCACGTGTTTGGCCCTGCAAGTTTTAAGATCAGAGAAGATGACAGCAACATCTCCTCAAACTGAAGAGATTCCCAGGGAGCCGCGATCTCGTGGAATACCTTGAGGCTTTTCTCTGAGTCATCTCTCCCTGATGGCCGTTTTAAGGTCACTCCTGAATATGGACAATTTGTTCTGGAGACAAGAAACAGTACTTGGCAAGAAAGAAACAGAGATCAATTGGTACAATACATGACTGTAAGTCCAGTTAATCAAAGTGCCTTTGAAATACTTTTGATTTGCAGCTTTGATCTACATTGTTCTAGAAATCAGTTCAAATTTTTCATCCAGTACTTTAGGAAGAAGTCTGAATTCCAAAACATCTGGATGAAGAATGATTTCATTTTAGTGCTTTGATCAG